ATTTTATGAATATGAGTAAAAATTCAATATCTGAAAGCATTTAAACATACCATTAAGTATAACTATTTAAAATTTACGATAAACTGATTGTAAAACTCATATATCGCTAGCTTAGAGTGAAAATTTGCTAACTTCACTTGTAATGAAAAATCATATTTTGATATAGGAGACTAGATAAAGGTCCTTGTTTTATGTTTACTCGTTTATATTCAATCAAAGAAAAATTTGCTAAGGCCAAAAATGCTCCGAAAATTCGCTAAGGCCAAAAAAGTTCGAAATCTTTTAATAAATATCGAATCCCTCCGATTCGTATGGAGTTTTGCTTTGCACTTTGCACACAAGCGGGTTTCACTGTAGCATTATTTGGAATTTCGGAAAATGGGCGATGGGATCGAAGATGTTTGAAATAGGGGTAAAACCACCCCTGATTACCATGTGTCGTTAGTTTTCGGAAAGGTAAAAAAACTACATATATTTTGTACTTGCGCCGGGTTTTTAATGTTCGGCTCCNTTAATGTTCGGCTCGACCTGAACTTAGACTTTCTTACTTGTTAAATAACAATTTATTAAATTACTTACTTCTGCCACTTTTTCCTAGGGTGCAAATTTGACAAGGGATGACCGAAATTCGTTCCAAAATACATCAACGCAAAAACAAAATATGTAAGCCTCCACGTAAGTATTTAAGACATTATTACCTTTTTATTTGCAAATAAAGCCTAACACGTTTTTAGCTGAGTCCGCACAATTTTTTGAAAGAAAGTATAAAGATAAATAAACTAGGTATAGCGTTTTTAAAATTAGTGAAGGTGTAAATAAAAACGGGTTTTAAGGCCAAAACCTTTAAAGGGCCAATGTTATGTTTGGTGTTTGATTCATTTCACCTTTTGGTATTTTTGTTCAATTTTTGGCTTTAAGCGAGCCACGCTAAAAGGGTGATGGCCTCAAGGCCTATTTTTATTGGTGAGACAAGTTAGAACAAAACGAGGCAATGCTGCCAATTCTTGATTCAAAACTTGTCTCACCAATAAAAATAGGCCTTGAGGCCATCACCCTTTTAGCGTGGCTCGCGTAAAGCCAAAATTTGAACAAAAAATACCAAAAGGTGAAATGAATCAAACACCAAACATAACATGGCGATCCTGCCAAATTGGCACAAAATGACATCTGCAGTTGTAGCATTTCTGTTATTGGAAGAATGCTGTTTTACGTTGCATTTTTATGATTTCCCCTAGTTATGAAATAATATATGAGTAATTAATATTTGTTTTTATAAAATAAACCTCCATTTACTCACATTTTTACAAAATGTCAAACTGCAAGGAATAAAAACTAAAAAAAACAAATAAATTTAAATAAAAACTACACTTAATAAAAATTATATTCATGTCGGAGCAATATTCAAAAGAAGATCTGGACAACCTGTTTGAACAGCTGAACCACCCAAGATCCCTCGAAGAAGAAAATATAGATGATGAATATGTCCCTGAAGCACTGACGACAACGTCATCCACACCAATATCGAAATACGTCCCAACTCCGCTCACGGCTGGACCTAAGCCACTAACAATAGAACTAAGGCCAAAAAAGTTCGAAATCTTTTAATGAATATCGAATCCCTCCGATTCGTATGGAGTTTTGCTTTGCACACAAGCGGGTTTCACTGTAGTATTATTTGGAATTTCGGAAAATGGGCGATGGGATCGAAGATGTTTGAAATAGGGGTAAAACCACCCCTGATTACCATGTGTCGTTAGTTTTCGGAAAGGTAAAAAAACTACATATATTTAGTACTTGCGCCGGGTATTTAATGTTCGGCTCGACCTGAACTTAGACTTTCTTACTTGTTAAATAACAATTTATTAAATTACTTACTTCTGCCACTTTTTCCTAGGGTGCAAATTTGACAAGGGATGACCGAAATTCGTTCCAAAATACATCAACGCAAAAACAAAATATGTAAGCCTCCACGTAAGTATTTAAGACATTATTACCTTTTTATTTGCAAATAAAGCCTAACACGTTTTTAGCTCAGTCCGCACAATTTTTTGAAAGAAAGTATAAAGATAAAAAAACTAGGTATAGCGTTTTTAAAATTAGTGAAGGTGTAAATAAAAACGGGTTTTAAGGCCAAAACCTTTAAAGGGCCAATTATAGTCCTTAGCGAGGCCTTTTCGGCGACAAAAAGATTAAAAACTTGGACATGAAATAAGAAAGTTACAGAAAAAAACGCGATTTAGCTTTTTTAGCGGGTGACTAAAAATAAAATTTTACACCCAAAATGTTTTCTCGACATATAAGTTCAAATATAACTGACACACAATCAACTTATTTTTCTTTCTTATATAGTATATTGAATTTAATAAAATAATAAAAAATATACCTATACGAAAGTTTGTCATTTATTTACACTTCAAAAATATGGTCACCGTAATTATATTGCAAATTTTCAGAACTTTACCTAATCACTTATTTTTGGAAAACAAATTGCGTGTTTACTCCCTACCCTCACTTTATAGTTCCAGTGTGAGTTCTGACGGCCGGCCTCTCTCTATATCGGTAACAACCGAACTTGTAAGTGTTAAAATTCCTACTTTACTGATTCACGCCTTCCCCTGCGTAGCCAACTCTTAAGCTGAGATCCCACGATTGCCGCAATACGCCAATTATTGCCTCATTTTATGTCCCAATAAATTGACTCATGGGGCAATAGAGGCCGATAATGTGCTTACTGTGCCCAATCAAATACAACCAAGTTGCGGCAATCGTGTGATGGCTCGATTGGATCATGTAGCAATGAAAATTTCAAAATTTCGGCAATATTTATTGTGTTCTTGTGCGTCAATTAAAGTGAAAAATACACAACAATATTTAGGCTGTTTATTAATAATTTACTTTTTTTCTTCCTTGTGTGTCCAAAAATCACTGAATTGAATATCTTGGTTTTCAGAAGTAACGTAAATTTTTATTTAAATTTAATTCAAACTATAATTATACCCGAGCACATTTGTCCACAAGGGTATATAAAATTTGTTCACATAACGGTTGCTTGTAACAGGCAAAACGAATCGAGATAGATATAGACAAATGTATACATAAATGATCAGAATGAAAAGTGAAATCGATTAAGCGGTGACTGTCTGTCCGTCCGTCCGTCCGTCTGTGCACACGATAACGCGAGTAAAAAGTGAGATATCTTAACGAAACTTGGCACGGACAATAACCACGCCTACCTCCCATGTAACGGTAGTTTTAGAAATACGAATACTGCGATATTTTAGTAACTGCTGAAGATTATTCACTCAAACCTGATATTTAGAATCAGTTTTAGACGCAAAAATAGGAGTATTATATATTTTTGGAAAATGGGCGTAGT